ACTGAGCAACAGACCAGTTCTGTTTTTCTTTAGCCCAAGTAAGATGCTTCTGACATTGTTCGTTGTTCAGGAGTGGCTTGACAAGAGGAATACGACATTTGAAACCCATGTCCAGGATCCATCTGTGTGTGGTGGCTCTTGATGCACTGACTCCAGCCTCAGTCCACTCCTTGTGAAAGTCCCCAACAGTTTTGAATGGCCTTTTCCTGACAATCCTCCCTAGGCTGCCGTCATCCCTGCTGCTTCTGCACCTTTTTCTTCCACACTTTTCCCTTCCACAGAATTTTCTATTAATGTGCTTTGATTCAGCACTTTGGGAACATCCAACTTCTTTTGCAATTACCTTTTGAGGCTTTCCCTCCTTATGGAGGGTGTCAGTGATGGTTTTCTGCACAACTGCCAGGTCAGCGGTCTTTCCCATGATTGTGATTCCTACTGAACCAGACTGGGAGACCATTTAACGGCTCAGGAACCCTTTGCAGGTGTTTTGTCTTAATTAGCTGATTAGAGTGGGACATTTTGAGCCTAGAATATTGAACCTTTTCACAATATTCTAATTTTCTGAGATTGTGGATTTGGGGTTTTCATGAGCTGTAAGCCATAATCATCTCAATTATGACACATCACGGCTTGAACTATCTTGCTTTGCAAGTAATGAGTCTATCTCATATATTAGGTTCACCTTTTAAGTTGCATTACTGAAATAAATGAACTTTTGCATGATATTCTAATTTTTCGAGTTTCACCTGTACTCGAGACTAGTAACTTAACCAATGCCACACTGTTATTATATTCATGTATATACACACACACACACACAGACACACAACAAATGCTATTTATAGCTCATATTGATTTTTAATACAATTTTTTCTTACTTTTTTCTCCAAGTTTTTTATTTTTTACAAATATATCAATGTGTGAACAGCATGGCACCAGAGTGTCATACATTTTGATACAAATAAAATAAAATACAAATAAAATCATATTTGTTTCATTTAACAAGCTTATATAATTCTAGTAATACACATATTTTTATAAATTATAATCTTTCATTATTTAATTATTCAATATTTCAATGTGTTATTTTTATGCCAATCACCCTATTCTAAGTGTCATAGCTTTTAATACAAATAGAATATTATTAATCATATTTATTACATTTAGCAAGCTTATATAATTCTAATAATAATACAAACATTTATGTTAAATTAAAATCTCCCATTATTTGCTTGTTCAATTTATAATCCTTCATTATTTGGTTATTCAATATTTCAATATGTTATTTTTATGTCAATCATCATATTCTGCAGGTCATATATTTTAATATAAAGTATTTTTAATCATATTTGTTACATTTAGCAAACATAGACATATTCATATTGAATTATAATAGTTCATTATTTATTTAATCAATAGTTCAATATATTCTTTTTATGCCAGTCACCATATTATTTAAGTATACTTAGTAATACCATAATTCAAATTCTAATTTCCCCTCTTATTATTACTTCTCCGTATATATAATATGTGTATTTTATTAATCCCCCTCAATCCGATTCTAACTTTGATTATGCCACTACTGTATTTAAACATATTCCCTTTCTAACCATCATCTATTATCTGCTTTAAAGCTTTAATTGTTCGTTTCTTAGCTTCCTCTCTCATCTTTATTTCTGTCTGCTTCCATATCTTGGCTACTCAGTTTAAACATTTCTCCCTTCTCTGCCCTTCTCTATTGTCTAGTTTTCAAAATATCTACTCTTGTCCCTATCTCTCTCCCATAAGAGTCTTCCTGGTTCTCCGGTTCCTTTTTTAATTCCCTTGGAACACTCTCCCCTTGACTTATGTCATCAATCCTTATTATTTTTGTTAACATCTCTTCTTTATCATCTTGTTTCGTTTGTTTTGTCTGTTCTATTTTTTCATCTACTCTTTCAGTTAGCTCCTCCTCTTCCTGGGCATCTTGATCACTCATTGTCCTTTGTGTTATATTTCCTAGCATTCTATCCATGCTCTCTATTCGGTTCATAATTTCCTTAAAATGTCTTGTCAGTGTCTCCCTTATACCTTGAATTGCTGACGCCATCTCTTCCCAAATTCCACTCCTTTCTCCTCGATGAAGCATCTCGTTAAATTTTATTGTGTCCCTCTTTTGTCCAATAATCCAAAGACCTTATATTCAAATCCAGTCACTTCTCAAAAAATTCAACATTCTTAGTTCCTTGTATCCCAAAATTGATCAACTTGTTCCTCTGTCCCATAAGTTTTCCAGAACCTCTTTAGGTCCCTCTATAAATTCAGTCTTGTACTGTAATCTTCAGGGGTCATTTTAATGATAATGTCTTTCTTGTTATCACATTTAAATTCCCAGTAATCGAATATTTCCAAGATTTTGGGAGTATGTTATTCTTCCTTTTGTCAGCAGGTGGCACTCTTAAACTGGATTTCAATATTAACCAGTTTTTTTTCATATTTCCACAATGTAAAAATAACATTGATTTTTAAATAGATATGAAGCAGTATGGAAAAATACCAGAAAAGTATCAGTGTTGTTAGCAGAAGTTAATTAGCTTAAATTGCAAATCTTATTAGCAGAAGTTGCTTAATCCCTATGTTGCAAGCTTTAGAATAATATAGAGAACTTGCTGAATATGAATATAAACATATTGACCTATGTACTAGATATTTTCCTGTAACAAACTGTATGGCAAGGGTGGGTGTGGAAAGTGACAGATGGTGTAAGATACTACCATATATGGGGAATTGTGCAAGATGATCAATTCAAACTTCCTTCTCCTTTCTTATAGTACTTATGTTATGGTATAGCTAGATAAGAGAAATGCCCTGGGCAAAGCTAGGGCTGTAGGCTGAATAAAAGTGATGCCTCGGGAGTAGCCCAGGGTTCAGAATTTGCCATGTTAATGCTCTGAACCATTTGCGCAAAATAAACCTGTGTTCTTCCAACCCTTTGTGGTCTTGTGTCCTGATTTGGAAGCAGGATCTGCTGCAACAATTCCAGCATTTCAAAATGCCAATGCAAAGCAGTGCCTATCCAATTTTCTGTATTTTAATGATTTTTCTGCCTTTTTCCCTTTAATTCTTTTTCCTTCAATTTTAAAGTTTTTTCAAAGTGCTAGGTCACTGCTACTTTTAAAAATAGTTGTAAGACTCTTTTCCTGGATATTCTTTTGGGGTTAAAATTTGAATAAAAAGAATTCTTCTCACCCAGTTCACACTTTGTTCACAAAAGTTTGCTCCTGTACTATGCTTAGATGGTCATCTGCTGTCCCAGCTTCGTGGCAGCCATCTTAGACTGCTTCTTCTCCTCGTCATTGGCATAGAGGGAAAAAGCCCTGGGATTCAGCAGGAGAGTTGTGATCTGTCCTGCGACCTCTCAGAGCGCCCCTCCTTAGCTTTGCCATCCATACAAGGTGTTTTTGGCTCCTTTCAGAGTCCACAAACAGGGAGAAGCCAACACAGAAACGGAGAACTCCATTCCCTGTGACTGGTAATACTGCAAAGCCCCATCCCTCTCCACCATCTTTTCTTACTAGACAAGTAGAAATAACATCTTATTACAGAATGGAAGAAAGTGGAACTACACATTCATATTAGGAGAATTAACAATTTGCCAGATTGTAAGAATGAATACTTGTTCAAACATGTCTATTTCACATTCTCTTTTGGATATGCTTTACGGAACTATTATTATGTTAGCTTAACTGAAAAAAACAACAAGGATACACCTCTTGTCCCATTCTACTTATTTTTATTTTTAGGCTGTATTTGAAAGATTATAGATAAAGATAATAAGATGATGTCCATCCTTTATGGTGTATCTGTATAAACTGGAATGTTTAAAATGCTTTTTAACGTCTTTTTATCTGCAGCATATCTTAAGTTGCCAGCTTTCAAACAGTTTGTGATAGTAAGCCATTTTTTAAAATATAGAATCCAGGCTAAATGATGCCAATGTCATCATACAGGCTACATAACTTTTCCCATTCACTCAACTAGAATGAACTTCTGAAAATGTATCAAAACGTATCAAAAAGGAATCCTTTATTGAGGTGAGACAATTCATGTAGGAGTTCAAAGCAGCATCTGAGGTCTCTCAGGCATACAGGGATACATAAGGGAGTTTAGAACCCCTCCCCTTATCTCAATGTGTATTTAATGAAACAAAAGCCAGTATGTTAATTCCTCCCCACCCTTTTTGTAAGGAACAATCTTTTTCACAGTTTCCCAGGGATACCTAATTTCCCCCCACCCCCTTTTTAGAACGAACTTTTCCAGAGATTCCCAGGGCACATCTCACTGTGGAATTTTTATGATCTTCTCATCTCCTGGCTGTGCCTCTCAGAGGTGATAGGTTCCAGCCATCTGGCTTTTCTCCCTCCATTGTATCATGTGTGGGTTATACAAATTTGATATAAGATTAAATATATTCAGGTTACATCAAGAAAGGATTTCTTTATCAGCCTCCCCACCTTTTCTTCTTCCACTGAAGAAATGACAGATACACGGATCTGACACATATCAAACACTGAAATCATTATCAAACAATGATATTTCTCCTAAATCTAGCACATTCAACCAATTATCACAACCATTATATGATGGATTAATTATAACAATTGCATGCAGACTTAGTAATTTTGTAATAATACGACGAGGATTCTTTTATAGTGCAAACATATATTTTGGAAATATTCAAATCTTATTGAATAGTACGTAAAATCAATTTTAGCAATGAATCTTAACTTTACAAGTATATAGTTTCAAACAATATATATGAAAAGCAACACATGAACAATGAACTATTATGACTTCCATTTTGATTGTACAAAAGACTTAATGCTTTCCAACCAAATATGTATAGATTATTTACTTTTCCTCAACAATTCTTTACTCAATCTTACTAATTTATCTAAACAAATACAAGTACTGTGTTTCATTCAGCAATATATATTACAACCACAGTGATCATTACTTACTGGTGTACAATATTCCACCATTGGATAGTGCATCTTATGACCTTTTGCAACTCGGCCAGAAAAGAAGCAACTTTGGCAGATATCATAGTTAAAGTGCTTTAAGCTTCTGTATCTGAAAGAGAAGGAAAAGAATGCAATTAACAAATTTAAGAGTAAACTGTATTTACTATAAGTATAAATCTGAAGAAATATTAGAGCTTCATATGATACAATTTTAATCAACAGCACACAATTTACTATAAGAGATCCATTTACAAAAAATTGAGAACATTGGAAAAATAACTATGAAAACTCTTAAACCATTTTTGTTTTTTGAATTATGCATAGCCTATAAACACATATTTCATTCAAATATCAAAGAACTTGGGTTACCAGAAAGCAGTAATAGATTGGTTATCAACAGTGGTGGGATTCAGCCGGTTCTCACCTATTCGCTAGAACCGTTTGTTAAATTTCTGAACAGTTCGGAGAACCAGTTGTTAGAAGAAATTTCCTTTTGTTTTTTCCACTTTACAGAGCTAATCCGGTAAGGAAGGCAGGAAGGAAACATTCTGGTGTTGTTTGTAGCCTAATCTTTATTGCCCTGCTTACTGCCTCTTGGTTAACCCTTATTACATTGTAATAGCTAAAGGTTCTTGGCAGTATGCCCAGACTTACTGTCCTCTGAGCTTCTCTGCTTTGCTTTGTTTTATTAGGGGTTTGACTTTCTTACAGGGGAAGGGTTGTTTTAAGCTTTTTACACTGCTGTTGCAAGGAATTCTTCCAGCTGGGATGCAATGATCAGCACTTTGAAGACATAATTGAATAAGAAGCAGAGCTGCCTGAAAGAAGCTTTTAATGACAAGGAACCAAGATGGGTGACATTCAAAAAGGCTTCTTGGCTAGTTAGAAAGATTGACATTGAAATATGAGTTTATATACCCTTTCTCAGTTTTGGCCTAAAACTGGTTTTTGGTGAAGTTTAATTCTGTGCTTGGTGATGTTTAATCCTGTGTTTATTGATAGGATAATTTTCCCTATTCAGCTTTGTTTGGAAGGAAAAAAGTTAATCTCTGTTCATGAAAAGAAGTAGGGTTGAGAAATCTGGCTAGTTCCAGTGGTATTTCTAACTGGTAATTGGTTTAACAAGCAACAGCTACAGTGTTTGCTCTTTTGCTACATTCTAGCACTAACTGCATTCTTTGTAAGTTAGGCATCTCAAGTGTTTACACTTGAGCTTGCCTGGGGTGTGAGCTTGTGTTTTAGTTTTTAAAGGATTTAAACTGTTGTGATTTAATTATTTGTATTGTGTTTGAATTTTTTCCTGCCTCGTGGTTTCTTTTTCTATCTGGGGAGGGGGTCTTCCTTCACTACTGTAGTGGTTCCTGGCACTGTCCTTTTGGGGTGTACTTCCAAGAGGCAGGATGCAAGTTTGGCACTGATATTTTTACAGCCTTTCTGGGGGGCACATGACCTTTCCTTAAATCTGGATGATTTCCTTAGGATATCTTGTGAGGTGAGCGAGACCAGCTGGTATCTAAGTGGTACATATGGATCTAAGGATTGTTTCTCCTGGGTGGAAAAGGGTGCTTTGTCAGTTCACTGAACACAAGAGTCTCTTGTCTATGGAATTTTTCAGTCATCCAGGTCATGGCTGTCCCAAAGGTGCTTTTTTCAAGAGGCAATTGGACTTTCTTGGTTTCCAGAAAGTTCAGTTGCCTTTTGAAAAAGCACCTTTGGTGCTTTTGCATTGCTTAAAGTGGCCAAGGCACATGATTCCTGTTAGGTATAACATTGATACCCAACAAGGTTTGGGTGGATAAATATATAAACTAAGGTATCATAGTTTAAGTGTTTGTAACTTTAAGCACCACACTGCATGTAATTAGTCAATTAAGGGTGCGGTTAGAAACTGCAATAAGAGGAAGCAGGAGAAAGCTTGCTGCTTACTGCTGCCTATTGCCTACTGCCTACTGTTTTACTGTTTACCGTTTGCTGTTTACTGCTGGATACAACTGTTTACTACTGTTTTACTGCGACTGTCTACTGTTTGATCGTTCTACTGAATATCCAGCGTTATCCTCTGGAGAAAGCCATCGGAGGAGGAGAAGATATCTTTATTGGCTGATAAAGATATAGTAAGGACTATTATCTTGACTGAGTTAGTGAGTCTTACTGAATGGATATATTGTGAATGACATACGGACTGATTGACAATGCTTAAACTCTAACTGAATTAAAAACTATTTAAACTACAAACAGTGTTTGTGTTCAGTGTGTGTATACTCTAAAACCCTTCCTCTCTCATTTGGCTGCCTGGCTTGACTGCTGCTGCATACTCTGCTAGGGGTTTATCCCCAAACACTAACAATTCCTCAAGGTGCTCTGGTACCTTCCCTGATTTGTAACTCTGGCTTGCAGATATTTCTAATCTAATGATTGGTGTTTTAGGGCAGCTTTTTGAAAGCAAAGCAGCTTTTTGTATTTTTGTACAGAGAATCCCTGACTTACAATGGTTCATTTACTGATCATTCAAAGTTACAATGGCACTGGAAAAAGTGACTTATGACCATTTTTCACACTTACAACCGTTGCAGCATCCCCACGGTCATGAGAGCCAGGCAAGAGGCAAAGCGCCCCTCGACGTGAGTGATGTCGAGTTGGCCATGCCCACCCAGTCACATGATCACCCAGCCACACCTACCCAGCTGGTCATCAGGGCAGAGAATCAGTTATTAAATTATTTGAATCCCACCCCTGGTTATCAACTAATCAGACATGCTGTTTGTCAGACCAGGATTTCAGTGTTAGAGGGATTCAATGCACTGAAACAATCACAATGATTAACGGTGTAGTTTTTAAAAGTTGCAGCTGATTTCAAAATCAGATGAGAACATGTTATATCTATTGTACAAACTCCCACCTGGTAATAAATTGGCCATCATTCAAAATAATGGAGCCAGTATCATTTGTACTGTTACTATTCAAAAGTAGCTTAATTGTGCATAATCCTCGACTTACAACCATTCATTTAGGGACTGTTCAATGTTACAACAATACAGAAAAAAGTGATGAGAGTTTTACACTTATGATTGTTGCAGCATCCCTATGGTCATGTAATCAAAATTCAGACACTTGGCAACTGACTTATGTTTATAATGATTGCCATATCCTGGGCTCCTGTGATCATCTTTGAGACCTTCTGGAAAAAAAGTCAATACAGAAGCCAGATTCACTTAACAAAAGTTTTACTAACTTACCATCTTCAGCGATTCACTTAACAACTATGGCATGAAAGGTCATAAAATGGGGCAAAGCTTACATAACTGTCTCATTTAGCAACAGAAAGTTTGGGCTCAATATTATGGCTGTAATTGAGGACTATCTGCATATCTTTTTATGTACTCAAACACAATTTCAAAATGAAGGAATTTACTTTTTCATAAACTTATTCAATTTCTGAACATTTAATTTGAAAAAAAGGCAAAATTGTGATTTTCAATGTGGAAGAAAATGGCAGAATGTTTCCTGCATTAGTTCATTTAAGAAAAAGAAATATGTTTGATAAAAAACCAATTTGTTCTTTACAGAGATGTCTTATGCTACCACAGTTTATTGCATTTATAAGCTTCTATGCTGAATAACTTTTCATGATTATAGTTCCAGTGGTATGAAAGTGTTCATTAAGCATTTTACCTGAATCCAATAATTGGACATTCTTTACAGATGTTGCACTTGGCCTGATGTTTGGCAGTTTCAGCAGCTGCCACTCTATGTAAAACTGGAAGCCATACCATTGATTGTGGTTCAAGTCTCATCCAATCCAGAAAAAGAGCTGCTTCAATTTCAGGTTTGTTATTTGCCTGTGAGAGAAAAGTGATGTGGTCAACTTCAAACCAAACCTGGCAGCAACCATCTTCCTGTTCCTCAGATACCACACAGAGGGGGAAGGAGGAAAGGATTTTGGAATGCATTGCTAGACAACAAAGAGCTTTCTCATGAGAACCAAGGTCATCTCTACTGGCAATAGATAAGGTTGGGGAAGAAGTGCCTGAAGAGCCCACCAATTAACTCAATTGGCCAATGTGACCTGTGACACTTGGGGATGGGATTATTTCCTAGTTTAATTATTCTGTAAATGTGGAAAAGATTTAGATTTGTTTTTCCATTGAAAATGTGCTAATATGATGTACTCATTAAAGAAGACCTTTGAGAAGGAGCCAAGTTTCAGAGTTCGGATTTGCTTGAGTTCATTAATTGGAGCCTTGACATTAAATCAAATCTCGTAAACCTACTCCGGGATTCTTAGCCCCGACAGCCCTTCCAACAACACAAGATGGGTAGAAAAGACTCAGGGAAGATCAGAGATGTAGAAGATGGCGGAAGCAACCACTAAACATAGCACTGTCTGACTGGGGTCGTACCGTAGGCAAGTTCCTCTGAGTTAGTCCTTTCACTGGCAGTCCGTGTGGATATGATTGATAAGACAGTGATGCAGGAAGAAGCCCTAGCCACTGAGGACCTTTATCTAGGAGAGGTGGGGGCCGGGCACAATTGGATGTCAAAAGCCGCTGAAATGGAATTTTCTGAGGTCCCCTCAGTCGCCACTCTCATCCTGAGATGGAAATCAAAGAAGACTGCCAAGTGGGACGAGCATAGGGAATCAAAGTACCTGACCATCCTTCACAGTCTATCAGTAGAGCAGCTGAGGGAGAGGTTCAACCACATGGAGAGTGGAACTGATGAGCCAAATCGGTTCATCCATGGTGACAGCGGCTTGGCCAGCTCACCCACTGCTCAGCTGGTGAGGCCAGAGCCCAACCCAAGTAACATGAGTAGCCAGCCTGCCTCCCCAACGAGCTGGGACAGTGAGTCCAAGCTGAAGACAGAGCCCCCCAAGGCAGCAACCAGCAGCAGGTTCAGTGGGATAAACTCAGCCTCTTCCTAACTCAGGCCTTACTATCAGCGGCATGGTTGATTCCCCGGCTCATGGGCATCCCCTTCTCCACTGGTGGCAAACCCCCCACCCATGAAGACCATGTTTGATGGAGACCCAGAGAAATTGGCACTCTTCCTCTACCGGATGTGGACCCACCTGGACTGCTATGCCCCAGTCTACCCATTGGACATGATGAATGCTATGACTGCCAACCTAGAGGGAGAAGCTGTGGAATGGGTAATGAAACTCAATAATGAAGATGCACCAGAGTTGGGGAACGTCAAAGACTTCGTGGGGGAGCCGAGAGCTAGATTCCAGGATGAGTCCCAAGCCTTACAAACAGATGCCGAAATCTGAGATTTGAAGCAGAGGGGCTGACTGGTGAAGGAGTATGTGTGGGAGTTCCACAGAGTGGCTGGCAAACTGAGAGATTGGGCAGACCGACAGTTGGTCTACTATTTTAAGGAGGGCCTGGACCAAGTACTATAGGCATGCGTTTACCGAGCAAATTCATGATTTGTACTGGGGATGGCCATAGTGATGGACCTTAAGCTTAAGCAGTACAAGAAGCACAGCACACCCAATCTGAATCCCAAGCGGACACAAGAGGGTTGCCAGTTCGGTCATCAACCCATTGTCACTCTGCCCACTGGCCCTCTTCCTGCTCTGGTCTGAGCCCCCATCAGGTGCTTCAGAAGCAGCCAACAGGGTCATTGAGCTGCTGAGTGCCTGGCATCAACACCCCAGCCAAAAGTGACCCCACTGTGTAGTCTAAGCCAAAAAAGTTGCCGTGGAAGAATCAGGAGAAGTCAAATTTGGTGCACTAGGTTCTCACCTGTTCAAGTGAGGGAGAGGGAACTCCGGTTCAGAGAGACCAACAGCCTGCCCCTTATGACAGCAACAATGAGGATGAAAATGACCCGATGGTAAGTGAAGCCACCTGCCCTTTTCCCATCCCCGCAAAAAAATGGTGCCAAAGTCAGGAATCCAGGGAGAGGTGGACGCTCTAATAGACTCAGGCTGCATAAGGTGCCTAATTAGCCTACTGACAGTGCTGAAGCTAGGGATCAAAGCGAGGAGACTGCTCGGAGCCATGAAGTTTGATCAAGTCGGTGGATCACTGATAGGAGGTTCCCCTGCAAGGCACCTCACTGAGTTGGTGCGGCTAGTGATAGGCCAACATTGGGAGATCATCCACTTTGTAATAGTCCTCAAGGGAACTCCTGCCCAGAGGTACCAGCAGCCTGCCCCCTATGATAGCAACGATTCTGGGATTGTCCTGGCTAAACAAGCTGGGTGCGATGATCTGGTGGGAAGAGGGAGAAAGAAAAATAAGGCTGGGCCCTCTTCCTCCTCAAGGCAACCAGAAGGGAGGAGCTGTCCAGCACCGGGAGGAACCTTAAAACCGCTTCAGATCAACCACCAGGAACCCAGCTAATCCCCAAAGAATACCAAGAAACTAGTGGGGGTTTTCAGCAAGAAAGAATGTGATGTGCTACCCCCCACCCCACCATGCCATTGAGATCCTATCAAGCATGAAACTCCCTAAACCAACAATTTACTCCATGACCCCAAAAGAAGTGAACCTAGCCAGAGGCTTCATTTGGCTGGCAAAATCATGGGTGGCCACTCCCGTGCAATTCAGAAAACATGGAACTGCATGGAAAACATGTACTTCCTCCCCTTAATTAAAGACATGCTGGTCCATCTAGCAAAAGGGAAGATCTTCACCAAACTAGACCTAAGGGAGACATATTACAGGGTGAGGATCGAAGAGTGGAAGACTGCTTTTAACTGCCCACTGGGCAGTGTCCAATTCAAAGTAATGCCATTTGGGCTCCAAGGGGCTCCTGCGGTCTTCATCCAACTCATAAACGAAGTGCTGCATGAGCAGCTGTACAAGGGGGTCCTAGTGTACTTAGATGACATTCTCATCTTCACCAAAACAATGGAGAAGCACCTCAAACTGGTCTGCCAGGTACTAAAGAAACTCTTGTCTGCAAACCTATACGTCAAGCTATCCAAATACAAGTTCCATAAGACCCGCCTCAATTACCTAGGCTATCGAGTGTTGAGTGAAGGGATAAACGTGGACCCAGGAAAAGTAAAAGCCATCCTGGAGTGGCAATCCCCTCAAACCCGCAAACAACTGCAGAGCTTTTTATAATTCATAAACTTCTACCGACAGTTCATCCCCTTTCGCCAAAACAGCCCTGCCCATCACCGAACTGCTAAAAACAGGGAAAGGGGTGGGGACCACAACCTCGCCAGCCACTAGAGTGGACTGTGGAGTGCCAGAGAGCATTTGAGAAACTCAAATGGCTGTTCATAGAGGAACTGATCCTAAAGTACCTAAACCCTAAGGAGCCATTCGTCATTCAGGCAGACACCAGCAAAGCAGCTGTAGGGACAGTCCTCCAGAAGAACAAGGAAGGGAACCTCCAACCATGCGCCTACACCTCCAAAAAATTCAACCACACTGAATGAAGGTGGGCAATGTGGGAGAGAGAGGCTTTCATGGTCGGTTGGGCATTATTAACCTGGCAGCACTTCCTAGAAGGGAGCAAGTGACGTTTGAATTATGGACTGATCAAAAAAATCTAGTGGACCGTAGGACCCCTTGGAAGCTCTCTCCCAAGAAAGTTTGATGCGTGCAGTATTTTAACCAATTCAACTTCACTCTGAAATACATCCCAGGAGGGAAAAACTTCCTAGTGGATGCCTTGTCCCGAATGCCCCAGTACAAGAGTAAATGTGAGGAGGTGGTCAACAGCATCATTCCCAACCCCTAAGAAGGCAGCACAAGTCACCACAAGGCAATAGACTCAGAGGTGAGCAAGCAAGCTGGAGGAAAAACTAACTCAAAATCTCAAAGCCAAGCTGCAAACCTACCCCTGGTTCAGAGACAACAACTCCTGACCTCCCAAAATGGATTGGCATGGAAAAGTCCAAAATTGTATGTTCCCAGCACACTCCTGGTCCAAGTTCTGCAAACAAGCCACGACTCCAAACGAGCCGGCCACTTTGGATTCCTAAAGACATGGCACCTGGTACAAGAACAATTTTAGTGGCCAGCAATGAAAAAGGACATTGAAAGCTGTGTAAAAAGCTGTGTGACATGCAGAGCAATGGGGGGAAAAAAGACCTGGGAAACCACCAGGATTGTTATAAGTCATCAAACTGTCACAACCCTAGCAGAAAATAGCAATTGATTTTATTGTGGAACTCACAGAAAGTAGATGAAACACTGTAATTTGGACTGTGATTTATCTTTTTTCCAAACAGGCCCACTTCATTGCCTGCTTTGATCTCCTTTCAGCCCATAAACTGGCTAAGCTCTTCCTGAAGTATATTACCGACTGCATGGAGTCCCAAAGAGGATCATATCTGATCGGGGTGGGGGGGTTCCAGTTTACGGCTAAATTCTGGAGGGAATTCATAAAGTCAATTGGGTCTTCCCAGGGGCTTAGCTCAGCTTTTTATCTGAGTACTAATGGGGTGGCACAACACATGAATGCAATGATAAAGCAGTACTTGAGTTGCTATGTAAACTTTGAACAAACCAATTGGGCTGATCTGCTACTTTTTGTTGAGATGGCATATGTCGTACTTAGCAGCATGAGCTTCACCCCTTTCAAGGTGGCCACACAGGTGGAGTTTGTCCCAATGTGTGAGTTCCCTCAGGAGCCCTGTTCCTCAATGAACCTGACTGAATGGGTAGACTCCCTGCAGGATGCTTGGAGGAATGTGAAATGGGCACTCGCCAAAGCCACCGACACTGAGACACAAAAAGAGAAGGCAGACAAAGGGTGATCCCCTCAGAAGCCATTTCACATAGGAGAGAAAGTTTACCTGTCCACCAAATACCTGAAACTAAAGCTGCCATGTAAAAAACTGGGTCCTAAGTTTATAGGATCTTTTCCC